TCGCAGCACGAGCGCTTTCTCTGCAGCTTTACACCGATAATAAATCCATATACGTCGCAAGTAATTCTAAGATTTACAGTCTTAAGGATTTCCTGCGGATGTCACATCAAGAGAGATTAGTATTAGGTTTATTTGGTATATGCATTGGTGAAAGACGATTGGTGTGTATCTAACAAGAAGCGAAGTTCGATACCGAACGCTTCTCATGAAAAGCAGGTTCTGGTTGAGTTCAACTCAAAGTCTAAAAACGCGTTTTCTGTTAATCAAAGCAAAAACTCGACGTGATTCTGCAATGGCAATGTCTTTGAAGAAGAATATATTGACAGAGAATGCGCAATGAAAGATTTCTACAATGGTGGTGCAACAATTATCATTGACCAGTGCGACTTTGATTGAATGATCGGATTTGTTTGAACCATGGTTCTATTCTCGTGTTGGGTTAATATTCGGTCCTATAAATTAAATTGTAACCAAGTAAATAAACTCAAGTCATGGTTGAATAAAAATCAACTGATTATAAATTGTATAATGTATTCAAATAAGTTCGTACGACAAGACTTGTTAGCTGAAATTTCTGATATTCCTGTCCTGAATTAGAAACGGTAGGATACTTTTGTACGTTACTGTAAGAATAAGAGGACAAACGTGGTCTGGAGAAATTAAGTATATTTTTGGGGATATGCATAATATTCTTCCACCGTACTGTATATTAAATAATAACACCGTTTTGGTTTCTACGCAAAAATAGTTGTTTGCCACTATTACTATATAAGGTAGACGGGTTAATTTGGCGAAGTTAAAGTTCTTACTAAGTGAAAAATTTATTGAGCTGTTTACAACTTTTGATGTTCAGAGTCAATAGCTAGAACATATTTTGCAAATAGAAATTCGCCGTTCCGTTATTTATTTATTTTATTTTATTTTTTTTTTTTTGGGGGGGGGGGCGTAATTTGGCGAATTCGGATCTATTACCAAGAAAATAATTTATTTTTTTATCTACTTTACCAACCTTTAAAAGCATGTCGAAGAGTAGATTCTGCAATCCCAAAATCTTGCGCGTTTAGCGACAGTAGGATAATTTTCTAATTTGTCACGTGCAGCACGATATCGCTTAATATAAGCGACTTCCATAATAATGGTGACAAGTAATTATGCAGCAATGGTAAATTGATTTTGCGCCCATTTTATTACACCAAATCTAGCTAGCGTTTGTATATTGTATGTAGTGTTGTGAGATTTGTGGGAGAGCGAACTGTAGGCGGTTCGGCCGACGAGGAGATCTATACTCAATTAGCTCAGTTATCGTTGTTCTTATTACAGCGACAGTTCAATTAAAGCTGAATGCTAAGCTATAAGTAACGTCTCTTTAGATTAATTATGCGCGCTTCCTAATATCTATACGTAATGGAATCCAACGTTCGTATACGGCTAAGGAAATCCACGAATAATGCTAACAACGTATACTATTCTATAAAATCGAAAAGGAAAACTTTTTAATTTAAACAAAAGGATGCTTTGATTTGGTGTTTTGACTATAACTAACCAATATGCGTCACTTTTTATTTAAAACTAATTGAGCGAATAAAATATTGTCGTCGTTGAATATTATTTAATTACTATACGCTTTCAGGTGGTTTACTTACTAACTCTACGAACAAACGTTACGCTCTGTTACTCAGTCTTATCGCTTTTGTAAAATTTTATCACTTAAGCTTTAAGCGATTAGTATTATCAAATAAACTTAATATTGTTTATCTCTGAAAATATATAAATAGTTAACAATTAACCTAAGAAACTAACAACAAGAAATATTATAATTGGCCCCAATTGCTGTCTATCGAACATTATCTTATTTAATTATTGTCTCTGTCATCTTGTTCGTTTATTTTGTTGGCATACCTTAATTGATTTGTGCTTTTCAATTTCTTGCTGCGTGTTGCCAAATAAATAAACGGGAAATTAAATTGGAAAGTTTCAGGTACAATTTTTTGTCAGAGTTTTTTCCATAACCGTCCGGTATAATCAGGTTTGACTGTACATTTCTACATATTTTCTGGTTCAAAAAGACAGAGAGCAAATGGTGCAATAATTTTCTGGTAGAGATAAATCTTATAAATTAAAGTCATAATTTGCATTACCAACAGTTGGTATACTAATAAGATTGATTTGGGAAGATCTCAAGCCCGTACACAAAATTTTTTTTGAAATATTAATATTGGTAAATTAAATGCTCTTCAATATGCATTAATCGCTACGTTTAATTTTTTATACTTGGTAATTGTACATACCTGTACGTTTGTTTATCACTACAACTCTGTATACATGATAAAATTAACTATTGATTTATGAACATAAGCGTGAGGACTGTTTGTACTAATATTGAATTACTGTATATATATAGCAAGTTTAGTATTGCCACAGGGATAATTAACACAAGGATTAGCAGTTACTGTTACACACAGTTATACCGATAATTTACCAGGGAAATAGCTCTTGAACATTCAGAACACTAAAACCAGCTGAAATCTACGTTACTTATATATTTTTTGACGGAATTAATTGTTAATTAGTATATGCTATTCAAATATTTTCTGTAACACCATTGGAAATTGGGAAAAACTCGTCACGTTATCAGGAACAACGCAACTTTTATTAAAAATGTGTTTATAAGAAGTTGTGTTTTTCTATAAGTTTAATAGTAGTTAATTCTCAAACATAGTGTGTTTATAAAGAGGTTTTTAGATAATGTGCTATAGAGTGGATGACTATTAGGGGGAGGTCGATTGTATACGCTATAATTAACGCATCTCGTTATTCTATTAATTCTATTAATGAATACAATTATTACAATAGCGAAATAACAATGAACACCATTGCGTAATTACATTTACAATGTCCTGCAACGTTCAGTTTAATTGAGCATTGACGATGAACGCGAAATCTGTGAATACGCAATTAAAGTTCCACTCTACTCTTTCAAATTTGAAACCACCGGATCAGAATGCTTATTTTTTTAGAATGAGTGACGGCGTATCAATTCAACCCCGCGTAATACTGTGATTAAAAAAATGACGCAAAGTAAACCTGGATTTACATTTTAAACCGTTTCCTGTAATAAGTTAGTTTTACGCGGTTTAGTTTGCGCTTTTCGGTATTGAGAATGGATCCATCAACCAAATTAGACATAGACGACGCATATCGCAAAGAGCTAGAAAAATGCGCAATGTCGATAGATTTGCCAGGACATGGTATTATCACTGCTTTCATTGACGATAACTCGCGCTATGATTTTACTGACTGCACTCAAATGACATATACAATAGCGTATACGATGGAATTATTAGCTAACGTTAAGACACCATCGTTCACAATAACTAACAATGTATCGGATCGTCTGACGAATAATTTGAGTATTGTCGAGTCTTTAATAATAAATCAGCAGTGTGTTGGAAAGTGGATTATAGATGATGCGGAGGCTGCAGAACTCTTTATGAAAACAACGCGCAAGTCGGGAATGACTGATGATGAACTAATAAACGAATATTGTAACGGTAAGCAGAATGACTGCATTTCCTTGTCCTTCACGTAACTTACAATATTCTGTAGTGAATACCTCAAGGCTAAACAGTTTGTTCATGGAACCGCCATTGATTTCGAGAAATCACGAGGCTGCAGGGTGTTACAAATATACAATATCCAAACTGAGCGAAATTTCAAGACATTATCCGATTCACAACGTAGACTCTTTGGAATTCGCGAAACGGGAACTACCTTCACCGCCAATAGAAGAGGCTTGGTATGATAAATATCGCCCAGCGTTTACTTGCTAAAATTAACAATGAGATTAATTTAATTCAACGCGTTCTTTCACGTTAGCCAATTACAACCATATATTACGGAATATGACGCTCATGATATATCATCCCTGCTTAATGGTCTTGAAGAAAACGGATCGATAGAATCCATTCAGGACGAGAATTTAGTCGTTGAACAAGGCATCATGGAAGAAATCCTGATTCCAGCAAAGGCGGATAAAGTACACAGTCAATGGCCTTTGGGTATGAAGGAAATAGGCTCGGTGGTGAGCAAAGAGATGAAAACAGAAAATACAGAAGCGCTCCTGGAACAATTGGATCAGTTGGTTCCGGAAGGGAAAGGATCGAGATCATTGTTAGAATGGGACAACGATTGGGGTAAGCGTACGAGTTTCTGCAGTTAAGGTAGAATATATACATGTCCTTGATAATATATATGACAAACCCGTAGAAGGTTCGATTTCGAACGAGTACCAGATTGCTTCTGTATTTAATGAGGACGGCATATATGAAGAACTGTCCGGCATTGACAACGCAATCACGTGCAACTATTACTTAGGTAAGTAGGTAAAGTCGTTATTACATCAATGTCAATGTCACGAATATCAATGACTATAATGTTACAGAATCTCCCGTACTCGCAAACAACTATCCTGCAACGAACCGTCATAAGGGTCTGGGCACAATGTTTGTACAGTATTTAGCTGTATAATTCAGTGAATAAGAGTCAAATTCATTCAGGCCTTTTAATGGCAATTATAATTAGACCCGATTCAATGTATCAAGCAATCGAGGCCGTCGCTTCTGCAGATAAAACATCAACGTTCGATTTGGACAGCGACCTGGATGGACTTGATACGGACTTGACGAAGGTGATAAATCGTAATATGTTTGCGGACGAATGGGAAAAATTAATTGTAGAGGAAACAGCCGATGATTTCAGCAAACTAAAATTCAAAGGTAGAGCTTTAACACAAATTTACTTTGTATTATCAACACATTTATTTACTCAACACTCCTATATTTAATAGTTCCCAACTTGCCTAATCCCAAGAGTGTAGTTACGGAACAAAATAAAGCCAGGGCATCGTTTCCGTACATACCAAATGCTCTTGTGGACCTAATCTCTTCGGCCACCTTTACGCAATTGTCACAACCGTCCTGGATTCTTAACAAAACGACGAGCCTAGAATTAGATTTATCTTGGAATCCAATAAAAGGCGCAACTGGTCCTGAAATATTGCGAATTATAGACGAAGTCGAGAACATTGATCACATGGACAACATGTGTATAGGCTGTGAGTACGAAGAATTGCCAACGAATGAACTTGTACCTGATGAAAATGAGGCAGAGACCATGTTATTGTCAGAAAGAGAAGAAGGCAGTTCCAAACCGCGTTCAAAAAAACACGCAGGTGATGCAGGCGTGATTTCGGACGTCACGAAAACACAAGTGCACGAAAATTCAGAAAAGGATCATGAGACACGCGGGGATGGAGCATTGGTTAGTAGTGTAGAATCGGGTGCCGATGATACCAAACTGACACGCAAAACGACGCCATGGACAATGGAACTTTGCGATTCTCCGACTCAATCCGTGACTACTAATCAGACAGATAAATCCACTATTCCACCGTCTGCTCATGGCTTGTCACCCAATAGAATCTCTCACATTGGGAAAGATGCAAATGGCGACTCTTGTGTTGATAGACAGATGGCGGTATTACCCTTAGCAAGAGGGAAGAGAATGATTTCTCACATTTTCTTTGCTGACAATTTCTCGGCGACGAAATCAATCAACAATTTTCTGCTGCTACGCGGAAAAAAAAAGATGGAGATTATTCATGGAGGTATTAATTGCTGGCAGTAATATTTTATCTTTGCTTTGTTCGCCGTTTTTTAAATGACAAATTTGACCTATTACTAAATACTTGTAATTTTTCACAATTATTTAGAAGAGGAAGAACAAAGTGCTACAGTTGTTCCCACAATTCCAGTAGACCATCATCAAAGTCTCGAGCTTTTACACGAATTGTCTGTTGAACAAAATAATACACTCGGAATCGAGTATGAAAAGCCGGCGGCGGATGAGAAAACTGCTAAAGGCAAGTCACTATTTAGTTGTGAAACAGATTTGATTGTAGATACGGTGGACTTATGCATCTTTCAATATCAGATATATATCCTGAACCAAGGTCAACACTGACATACATAATCTCTGCTCGACTGTTACAAAATCGTCACATGGTTGCAACGCTAAGGAGTGATAAATGCAAAATTGAATTGATTGAGCGAGATTTCGAATACCTAAGGGTATGGTATCGTTAGCACCAATCATGTTTGTTTTGTTTTGTTTTCTCGCGTATTATTTATCGTCATTTATTCCCAGTAGCCGTTTCTTCCTGATGACGAATTAGCATCAACCCACGTAGACGCCGACCTGATAATTGACGAGTGTACAGCTATAACGTACCATTCGTTGTCTCACATATCACAACGTCTATCTTGCGT